TAAATTATAAGACTAAATTGAAGCGCACATGCTGAGTATGTGTTCTAAGCCATCAAGACATTAAAACATAGAAGTGTTGAATACTATAGAGTGTGCTGCCCAAAATGTGGTGGCCCCTCGTGGCAAGACATACATCGGATCCAAACGTTGTCCTTGATTTATGTCAACTATCAGCCAATAACAGCTATCTTTTGTACAATGGTTCTCCAAAGAGGCGTACAGGCACGGCCGCTGGATGAAAAAGCGCACCGGTACGGTCCGCCGCGTGCTCCGAAACCGGCGTGACAGGTCTAGTACCCGGACCACCGCTGCGGCGCCACCATAACCGGGGGGAGGGGCAGTTTTCGCGAGAGCCCACGGAATCGCATGCGTGTTACAAATGAGCGTGAGCAATGTCTGCGTGTGACCCGCGAAATCTTTTGATATCTGTCTAGCGTGTGCCCACCAGGTAGTTACTGATCTTGATTTTACATACCTGCAGCCCTTGAAAATTTTTGGTATTGCCTTGCCCGAGATGGAGCCTTGTGCCCCGATCAGTTTTCGCGGAAGTTAGAATTGTGAGCACATTTTACTCTGATCCTACAAGGTCACGACTAATCGATCTGGAAGTGCTACACCTTTCCTAATGCATCGAAATTCATTATAGTAAATGTGAGTATATCGCTTCAGAAAATGTTGCTTCAGATTTAATCATTTCGTTTAGTATAGGCAACTTCTGCAATTGCAGTTGCCACTGTTAATTTAACACAAAGTAGGATAGACTTTTTACTTCCTCCAGACATAGTACTCATACATACAGTATCAGATGCAACAGCCACGAAATGTACTCAGCATGAGTGCGATCTCATGACTCAAGCCTTTTTGAAATTTGAGTGACTGTAACTTCAGTGCTGGCAATTGAGCAAGCAGATATGAAGTGAATGATATGAAAACTGTGAGACAAAAAGAATGATGAAAGGCTGAAAAATACGAACACAACTGTTTGTGTTCCTGCGCTTTTGAGTGTTTTCGTCTCTTGTCATGATGTCCTTATCATAATGCAACTTATTCAACCTTATATTCAACAGCGAATACATAATCGCAACAAATAGCTTGAAAACATTTTATTTATTCTCTATTTAGGGCTGATCGTGGCTTTTTTATTTTCTTACTTTTTTACACCTTTGTATAATAATTGAACCAGTTGATAATTGCTTCACAGCTTCGTAGGCGATATTTTTCAAGGACAATATCGAAGTGAGTGCATATTAATTGAGACACTCACACACACACACACACACAAAAGGTGCCCCGTTCCGCAGCCGACAAGCATATGTTTACATTCACACCCACACAGCCGCTGGCTGCAAACGTTGTTGCATCCAAGAGTTTTGACACCAGCTTCCCTTTTTCTCTTATCTCTAGTTTTCTTCTAATGCCTGTGTTTAAGCCCTTGGCACCTTTGTCATTAGTTCCGGTTATTTCCGAACGCTGTCGCCCTGTGGTGTCGTGCCTTCTCCCGCAAGGCCATGTGGAAATGATGTTCGCTTTCGTAAAACATCTCGAGCACTCCTTCCATTGAAGAAGTTCGGCTGTCTGTGGTCATTTGTGGAACACCACACACGACTCAAACTTACATCAGCAAAACATGCGGAGGCAAAGAGGTGCCCAAAATCAGGTGGTGGGCGACAAGAGTTTATATTCGAAACAAATATAAACTGCCAGCCGACACACACGATGAGACCCTCTCACCAGGAGATTGTAAGGAGGATCGTTTTAGAAAAAGCTGCGGTAGGAAAAAAAATGGCATAAACGCTGTGCTATACTCGTGTCTCTTTACTTATCACATTATTTGTTATTGTTGTTTTGTTCTGCCTCCATCTCGTGTGCCCAACTTTTGGCTTATATGTCTATTGACAACAAAACAATCCGTTCGGTATTTTCATTGATGATGATGATAGATATGTGGGGTTTAACGTCCCTAAACCACCATATGATTATGAGAGACGCCGTAGTGGAGGGCTCCGGAAATTTCAACCACGTGGGGTTCTTTAACGTGCACCCAAATCTAAGCACACGGGCCTACAACATTTCCGCCTCCATCGGAAATGCAGCCGCCGCAGTCGGGATTCGAACCCGCGACCTGTGGGTCAGCTGCCGAGTACCTTAGCCACTAGACCACCGTGGCGGGGCATTCGGTATTTTCATGTTAGCCTCTCCACGGGCACTGGCAAATCCCAATAGCACTCCAACGCCCTTGTCTTTTGGCAGTCTCGGTCACGCGATTCAGTCATCCTTTACTGTTTATTTGTTCTACTATGTATCATCGACAAATTGGAACCTGTGCTCGTTTAAATGAAGGCAGGTGTACTCGACTGCTCTACAGCAGTTGTGGTTTTGCGATGTGTGAACATAAAAACGGGGTTGTCACTTGACCTGGCTGTGTGTATATATATATATATATATATATATATATTAGGGTGCCTCACGTAACTTGAACCAGAGTTAAAAATATGCCGGAACACGTAATAACGACGCGACCCAATGCATGTTGCTCACCGTAGCCTAGAGTTAGAATACTTTTTGTGTTCTCAAATATTGTTTAATTAGATATGTTTAATGAACAAACTTTTCAAGAAATGAAGACAGGTAAAAAATTTCAATGAGAAAGTTGTAGATAGGTTTGCGAAACATCGGATTATACAGTTCTGAACTTTATATCTGTTAGCTATTAGTGTTTTCTGACAATTACAAATGCCTATGAAATACAAAAAAATACCACGTGACAAACTCGCTCGTGCGCACAATAATTCTAGTACTTCCTATTGTTCCGCGTACGAACGACCATAGCATTTGCTTCATCGTGCTGTCTCGGCAGGGCCGCAACGCTGGTGATGGCTTTACGATGAACACGTTTTGCTATCGGCCACAAAATCGATAACTGCTATGACTGCTTATCGCTGTCATGAACTGACACGCGAGCTGGTTTGTCACGTGGTATTTTTTTGTATATTGTGGGAATTCGCAATTAACAGAACAACAATAATACCTAACAGACATAAAATCCAAAACTGTGTAATCAGACATTTCGCAAACTGATCAACAAATTTCTCATTGAAATTTTTTATCTATCTTTGTTTCTTGAAAAGTTAGTTAAACATATATAAATAAAGAATATTTGAGAACACACAAGATAGTCTAACTTTAGGCAACGGTAATTAACATGCATTTGGTCGCGTCGTAATTACGTGAACAGGCATATTTTTAAACTCTGGCTAAAGTTCTGTGGGACACTCTATATATAGGGAAGTGAAGGTCACGCATAAATAAATATAGCTTGAATTTAACCCTGCAGTTTCATGATTTTGTTTAAGGAGTAAAGGCCTATTATGGTCAGCCTCATTATATATATATATATATATATATATATATAAAATAAGGGAAAGACGTGTATACCTAAGGGCTCGTTTTTCCGTGTTTTAACAGAATATTAATGAGATCTAACAGACAGTAATGCCAAGGAATGTACAGGGGAAGTTAGAACCAATGGAATGTAAATAAGAAGAAAGAAAAGTGCTCGTCGTTTGGCTTATAGATGGCGCAGACTGTCACTCCTACTTCTAAATTCACATATAAACCCAAAAAAGTGGATGGAGGGAAGGCCGATGTGGCAGCTCAGTGGTTAGAGCATCGAACGCGTTATTTGAAAGTCGTAGGTTCGATTCCTGCTCACGGCTGGTTATTTTTTCATCCACTTTTCTTTCTTCTTATTTACATTCCATTGGTTCTAACTTCCCCTGTACATTCCTTGGCATTACTGTCTGTTAGATCTCATATATATATATATATATATATATATATATATATATATATACATATATATACTGGCATGGAGTGGCTTATATCTAGAGCAATGACGCTGACAATATTAGGCCTCAACTCCTGAAACAAAATCATGCGACTGAAACTCAAGTTATATTTATTCATGCACAATATATTGTCCTGCCTAGTAAGAACTATCAAGAAATTTGAGTGCCACTTCTAATGATGCATACTTTTGCAACCTTTTCAATAAAGTTGCAAGCAGAGCGTCACTACGTTTGTAGAAACCACTTTTATCCAGCGTTTGAAGCTGAATTACTTTTCGGCACACTAACATGTACCGGATAACATGGAAAATATTCAAACTATGTTTCTGTCATATGCATTCAGCATATAAAAACCATGAGCGTCTATTGTCAAGTTTCCTAAAAATTAGTTGTCAAGCATTATGGCCGAAAAAACGTGAAGGTTTTGAATAAACATCGCAAGAATCAAAATGCTTTAGTTTAATGCACCTTCATAAATAGAACGACTTTGTCACGCATTCAGTGCCATATAATTGAGCTACATGCATTGTAGATTTTTTTTTTCCAGCCTTTAAGCAAGAAGCTGGTTCTAGACAAAAAAAAGTCAGGTGCTCGGCATACACACGAAAATTCAATTGGCTTTTTAGGTAGACAGTGCCACGTACTCTACTAAATACGCGATATGTTATCACTGCGATAAATGAGATTTAAAAAACCACTGATTAGAACAACTGCGTGGGTCACTGTTTTGACAACGACCAGCTAATTTGCTACGACTGCTGCCCCGACGAACCGCCACCACTCGTTTGCCCGTCCCTTCTGTCCCCACCCTGTCGCGCGGCAGCGGCTGTAACTGCAACTACGGCTGACAGGCGCTCTCCCATTGAAAGCCGCTCGACGCGGCGGGCCGTACCGTGCGCTTTTTCATCAAGCAGCCATGGTACAGGCCTTTATAGTAAGAGAGAGTGCTTGAGAAAGTGGCAACTTTGTGCTCCTGTTATGAACACTCTTTGACACTCAAGATTTGACTGAACTGATCACAGGAGCATGTGCTTCCCACCGTTTTCTTTCCATTTTTTTTTCATCAAGCATGAAGGGACCTAGGTGTTTATTACTCTGACATCATTGCTAGCACAAAAAAAGTCACATATAATGAAAAAGAAAACCACTATACATTATACCAGCCTTTTTTTACTTGTGCTTCTGAATATGAAGAATAAAAATACAAACTGCTCATCTGTGTAACAATAGGACTTTATCTTATGTACAAAGGCCTTTCTTTATTCACCACATTTGTTGATAGGCTTATGCTATCTACAATGTACACCCCAACATAAGCCAATTATTGTGTAGTACACAATATTGTCCTAACAAGTCGCATTAGAAGCATTCTAGCGCAGTCATACTGACAGGAGACATCCTGTTAGTGTTATCGGCAGCTGTAGTGACAATAAACAATTAACTAACACTAAGCTGTAGAGAGAGATTGAATAATGAGGAAGATAAAAGACCGACTAAAGCTAAAATATTTCCATTCTAAAAAGAGAGACAAGGTTAATTCTACGAGTGATTATGAGCTAAAATTGTTGTTGCTGGTAACACGTGTATTGCTTTGAGGTAAAGAATGTCCCGGTATATACCTCGAAATTTGACTTTTATAGTGAGCCTTTGATGTTTATTGTGGCATGGAAATTTAACTTTAACATTCACAAACCCATATTTTTAATCATACTACTATACTTGCGGACAACTTTCTGCGGCAATGAAGGAAAGGCTATGGAACCAAAGCAGGTGTGTGCCACAGCTGAAGAATATAGTCCCACAAATGCGTCTGTGTTTTCAGCGTGAAGGTAATACAAAGCAACATTACTTTATATTGTACAGGATGCTGTTTATAAAGATATGCTGCATGAATCAAGAAGATATTAATATTTTTTGCTTCATGAAGTGTCACTTCACGTTTTTGCAAGTCTGAAAACCTCATACAATTTAGGTGCACCTCACAGTCCAAATGGCATCTTCATCTTTAAGTGAGTGCTCGTTGCCCTCCAGCTTTTCCGACGATTCACTGAAGGAGCTTGCATCGAATTTCACTTACAAATAGCTGCGTAAGCAGACGTAGCGAATTCTGCGCAGTGGTGTTACTCGAACATGGCTGGCATTAGAAAAGCGAGTCGAGCTGGGCTTTTTGGCAGAGGACTATATGTGATGTAGCTTTACCCTCGTAGCTTTCCTTTCATTGCCACAGAATGTTGTCCCCGAGTTATTTATTGATAATATACACAGGCACACTGAGTAATGTGACTGTATGCTTTGGTTTGATACTCTTCTCTGAACATATAACTTAGTTTGAGAGCTGAATGATTGGTATGTGGGGTTTAACGACCCGAAATCACCATATGATTATGAGAGACGCCATAGTGAAGGGCTCTGGAAATAGTTTGAGAGCTCAATATTACATATACAGCTCATTCAAAATCTTCTTGTAATCCAAAAAAAAAATGTTACACATCTTATTTACAATTTTTTTCTCAAAGTAAAATCTACCTTATGTGACTAACCTTAAGTGTTTTTCAGTGAAAGCACATGTCGCAATAAAATGCCTGCATCAATAATGCCGAGCTACTCAGCAAATAGCAAGAACAACAAGCAACTTGGTGCTTGGGTTTTCATCTAGTGAGGCGCATTTTCCACATGCTCTCTCAGAATAGAACCATCATACACAAGAGTACGTCCTTTAAATGTATTTGAAGATCATCTCCTTGCGGTCTGCAACTGACTGTAGTTCCAGCTTGACAGGGCACTTGAGGATGTAGCTGAGGATCTCTTCAGTGTAGCCAATGAGGAAGTACATCTTGCGCGGAATCACCACCCTTTGCACAATGCCTCCAATGAAGATCATGTTCGCTCGACGCTTGATGAGGATCTCCGAAACAAACATACGGTGCCATGTGCCAGTCATAAATTTGCGAATGAACATATCTTCTACAAGGGTCTCAGAGCGCCGCAAGCCTCCTTGCAGGTTGCCTAGAAGTGACAAGTAGCATGGGATAAGACAGAGGAAAAGAAAGTTTTCTTAAGACTACATACTTAAAAAATGGTTACAAGAAAACCAACATTACACAGCTTGCTTACTTACAGAGGTGAAAGAACCTGTCAAGTGTCTCTGGTGCAAATAGTTAGGTGACACTTTGTCATCAGGGTTTTAGCCATGGTGGGTGGTGGTAATGACATCAATAATACAGTATCTTATGTTGTACGAACCAAAACCACAATATAATTATGAACCACAGTATAGCTGAGGGCTCCAGAAATTTTGAACACCTGGTGTTTACTAATACACACTGACATCGTGCAGTACATGGACCTCTGTAATTTCGCCCCCACTGAAAAGCAACCACCATGGCTGGAACTGAGATTGCCACCTCCTGGCCAGTAGCCAAGCACCGCAACCACTGCACCACAAAGGGGGGCAATAGTAAGCGATCATGCCACACTGTCCACTGCTGCGACTGATCCGTTTAAAATACGTGCCTGAGGAATAAAAAAGCAACAATGTATGCATAACACCAGTGGGTAAAGAGCCTACACAAGGGACTCATATTACAGTGAACTACAATTGAACCCCTTTATAAGAGACACCAGTGTACCTATAGTAAAATTTGGGTTGATAAGAAAATGCATACAAGGTCCTCTGCTTGTAAGAGACCTCTCATATAAAAGACGAAAATTGCTGCCAGGAGTATGCCTTTTATAAAGGTGTTTAACTGTAGTTGTATGCACGCTCTCTACTAGTGGGGCATGTCTTCTGCCATTGGTTACCTTGTGTACTCAAAAATATCATGTGTCAGTGCAAGCACTCGGACTAAAGCGCTCTTGCTTCCATTCTCTACAAGCAAATCTTATAGTAGAAGCTCACACAGTGAAGGTAACAGACATGTGCCATAGCTGTAGAAATGCCCAACCAGACATAAAACATACATAGAACTTTGTGTTAAAAACAAAAAGTTGTTCAAAAACTTTCAAAATTCCTAAACTCAACATCCTATTGTTTTCCCTTGATTTGAAAATGCCTACCCCTTACAGATTGCCTACCATTCCGAAAAAGCTTTAGGGGCTAAGCTCCATACACTGTGCTTCAGTCCCTCCTTCACAGCCACCCCTTACTTCTCACAATGTTTACTAGATCGTGCCGTGCTGTTGCAGTATGTAACTGGTGTTTAGGGACAGTGAGGTCAAAATAGACTTTAGGCGGGTAGAATTAACTAGAAGGAGGTTATCTGATTGGTGGCTAAAGTCAAGGCACGAGTGAAAATTAAACCCTTCACTGCAAAGTATGAATCCTCAACCTCACTATTTAAGGGAAAAAATAAATCTAGGTTTTGGTTCATTAAGTATTACGGCTTGGTGGGGCGAGCCACCGCCCGATCCAAAGGGTATAGCCATATCCATCCATCCATCCATGTGAAGTGATCACTACATGGCGTGGACCACTGACCTCCATTAAAAAGGCTGGACGAAGCATCCCTACTCTCTGATGCGGGTGCTTGTAAAGCCACCGGAAGGCCCCTTCACTGTCCCGGAAGTTGGCATCTTCCAGGCGCTTTTGGCATTTAATTGATATATTATCTGGTGAAAGTTGTTGTGATAATAATTTTTGTGTTTTCTTTTTATATTATAATATTGTCGCGGTCATCCAACACTACATGGAAACTTACAGACGCCGTAGCGACGCCATCCGAAATGGCAGGGTGCTGTAATCTAGAACTAGTCCATGCAACAAACCCTACAATTAGGCATCACTTGGAATGCCAACCAACACTACATAACAAACGACAGATTCCGTAGCAACGCCGTTCGAATATGGCGCAGTGCTGTTACGTACGTTACAATTACTCAATAGTCAGGTGACAGAGAGAGAAATTGTCAAGGCATTTTTCTAAAATAAAAAAAAAAGGAATGAGTGTAATGGTAGCCAGGGGCACAAAGGTTTATCTTTTGTAAGTGATCCAGAAAAAAACAACAACATTGGGATGACATCATTTCAAAAGTGAGTTTTTGAAACTGAAGGGTCAAAACATCACTCTGCAAAATGATCACTGCAAAGTCTGCTTCCTGGAGAAGGAGTCAAGTTGTCCCTCTTTAAGCCATCCCCAGACCCACTTCTAGTATATTTGAGGCCTTGATCGTGGGAAACTGCATATCAAAAAACCAAACTCCTTCAACGCACCTCCATAAAAAATAGCTGGCCAAATACCATCATCTCATCACAGAACTCATAAAAAGGAATATAATTTTGATGTACTTATGTGTAAAATGTCTTCGCGTCGACATTTCCAGCCGATTCGCAAAGTTCACAGCTACCTACAGGCCAGCATTTCATTAAAAAGAAGAGAACAGTTGTCGTGCCCACAGTAGGCGACTATTCATGGCGGTGGCTTCCGGGACACTAACGGCGTCTTCCGGTTGCTTCAGCCAAGCGCACTCGATGCGCCAACCAGCTCCCCTGGTAGAGATCAGTGGTGGGGACGCATGTTACGTGTGGTTCAGTTTGATAGGATGGATGGTGGACAGACAGAAAGACAAACAGACGGACGGCTCAGAGCCCACAAAGCTTCGCCCTACTTATTATTACTCACTCCATGGATATGCTGTGAATTTTTTATGTGTGTGCGTGGTGAACGAGAAGATTGTCTTTCACATCGGCCACAATAAATATGTTTTTCCAGTAAAAAAAAAACCAAGTTTCTCATTTGGCTCTGAAAGTATGACCGCTAGTGTCACCACACAGAGATGTGGTTGAACCTATTGGTAGAACCAAAAATTTCTTGCAGACAGGCTTATTTTGCTTGAAAACAAACATGTATAGTTTAAAATTGTATTTTATGGACTTTTGGCCGCTTTCCTCCGTGTAAAAGAACGCTACGTTCACCTGCCTGCCTACGGCTGAGCAGCACAAGCCACGCCAATACGGCCTCCCATGTCACTCGAAAGAAATAAATAAATGTTGGGGGGAAACAGCAGCATGACTCACTTCACCAATTTTTCGAACAGTGTCCATGAGCTCTTTTTCGTAGAAGTGCACACCAGTATTCACTGATGCTCAAGTCACTTTGCAAGATGGTCAACCCCATGGGTTCTACAAGGATGATTTTGGCTTCAGATGCTATTTCAACAAGGCATCTGTCTTGGACGCCATGTTACATATGCAGCACAGAAGACCTAAACACAACTGAAACACCACACCTTCTCTTTTTCTGTGAAGCGTGTCTTGTGTTCGTTTCAGTAGTATCTTTGGCATAAGCGGATCCATTACGGTTTGTTTCACAACACCGGCATATCAGTTTTGCTGAAACACACGATGTTTCCTGCGCAACTGCTATGGATTTTCAGGCTGACTAAGCAAAAGCTTGAAAGCATGTGCTAATGACACTTTATTCGGCAGTTTGCGAGCTCTAAATGCACATTATGAATGTGATTTTATTATGAAACAAAACCTTACTAAGCCAGCAGCATGTGGTTCCAGTTTTCAACTTTTAACCAGTACGATTGCCATCACATGCAGTAACCAGTGTTGTGGGTGTTCCTACACCATTTGAAGATAACATCAAAAGGATAGCAAAATTTTGTTTTAAATGTTTCTGCTCGCTTTCAACATAAACAGCCACAAGGTTGGACACTTAAGACAGTATGCTTTCTATAGAGACACAAAACAGAAAAACAATAAAGCACAGCAGACAGGCCTTTCAAATATTTCTGGGGAGAACCCTGCTCGGAATATATAAATTAAACATAGATATTTGTCTAGTAGAGCCTGAAAATCACCCCTGTATAACTTTGTAACACTGCTTCAATTTCCCACTTAATCAGTTCTATTTCTAGCTTGACTCATTAAAACAATATATTTTAGGACAATTTTACAACTTTTCAATAACAGAACAAAGTAGGCTCAAGACCATGTTGCAGAAGTTTATCACACTATGGCAAGTTTGTGTGGTAACTTCAAGGCAATACTAATATCAGTCTTTTACTTATGTGACCTTTCCGGTTAACAACGTCACCATTGGACATGACAATGGCCATTTTGGTACTGTAGGAGCATAATTTTCCAACACAGTTGAACATTTTTTTTTCTCCCTTGAGTGCTTTTCAAGGGGTACAACAAATTATAACTGCCAATAGCACATACTTGTATTCCATGAGTTCCACGCCTTGCGGTGGGCAATCTGGTGCGGTGGGTTGGACATTTCATATGTAAGCGGCTTGCTGTGATTGCGTGTCACCCTGTAGCGACCTGCTCGGTTCTTCTCCAGAACTGTTGTTGTGTGCAAAGCTGCAACACATCCGGGTGCTGGCAAAAATTCTGGGTGGCATAACCTCCGGAACACCTGAGTGAAAAAGAAAATGCTGATCAGTGTGATGGTGGCAATGTACTGTTCCTGAGGAATAATGTCACTCTACAACTGACTAGTGATCTGGAATGGAGCATTGGGTAACATGAGTAACAGTTGTGCACAAGCGTAAACCACAGATCAGAGGGCCACTGGATGACTAAGACCAGCTGAGTTGAAAAATAGAACTTTGTCAGAACTTAATACACACTATTATCACAACCGATTCAGCTAGCGAATTGAATCAATACGTCAGCTGTGATAAGAGAAGCAGCCATAAGAACAGCAGTGCTGTGGTACTCCATGTCAGCGCACGCTAGGTGGATAGAATTGGTTTGATTGATTGATATGTGGGGTTTAACGTCCCAAAACCACTATATGATTATGAGAGACGCCGTAGTGGAGGGCTCCGGAAATTTAGACCACCTGGGGTTCTTTAACGTGCACCCAAATCTGAGTACACGGGCCTACAACATTTCCGCCTCCATCGGAAATGCAGCCGCCGCAGCCAGGATTCGAACCCGCGCCCTGCGGGTCAGCAGCCGAGTACCTTATCCACTGGATAGAATTGGTGAGCCCGCACTAATTGCCATTACTCCCTATGGGCTTTCATCTTATCAGCACATACTGAAACTAACTACTTTGTAGATTCTTGCAGAACAGACCTCCTGAAGGGCAAGTGATTGAGAAGGTTGAGCAACTGCTTTGATGGTAAGTAGCTTGTTAAATTGAGCAAAGTGAAAAATCAATTCACGCTTAATTTTCGTCCTATAGAGAGGAAGCAAACCATAGACACTATTATCATAGCACCCGAAACTGCTTCCCGCACTTTCAGGGACTAGACTTATTAGCGTGTCAGAAACCTTCTTTCTTTCGGTGGCCTGCTTTTTTTAAATACCGTTCCCACTAAAGGCTAGAATCAGTACTAATTCAGTGCACGTGCAATGATGTTTTTTTACGGCTCCACGATGTATTAACTACTGGTGAGTTTATTGGAAGGCGCAGGCAAAAACAAGTGCACACGCGAAACGGAGACTTATACACGAAGCCCTAGTACGCACATGCAAATCAGCACCCTGGGCCAACAGTAAGAGTTAGTAATACGCTGAAACCAAAGTACTTAGAAAAGTATGCGAATCAGTCAGTCTCGTTTAAGGACGCTAAAATGCGTAACAAAACACACGAAATGTGTGTTTCAGTCACGCAGTGCGTGTTAGTGAAACGAAGTGAATTCTAAATTTGCACTCCTCTTTCGATATGTTGCGACGCTTTCAATTTTCCCGTAGAAGACATTCCCGTGTCTTCTACGGGTCCTCTTCCCGTAGAAGAGGACCCGTAGAAGACAGCGAACATCTGTTTTACGTGAGATGAAACTCACAAAAGGAAGCGTTTATAGGGACGCAGACTCCGCATGCACTGGAGACATACTCGATGAGCTCGTGGATGTTAATTATGCGTACGCGATCGTCTATTCCTCCGAAGTTCTGGTGCCCTTCACAACGCCAGCGATTTCAGACGCAGTGATACATGTACTGACTGTCACCGCTGCGTCACAAGGAACAATTTTAAGGGTGCCTGCTCTATGCCTCGTGCGCGGCACAAAACTAGAAGACTATCGAGGACCACGATAGTTTTTTCACCTTGCACAAGCTGCTCATGGGGACCGCCATGCTTTCTAGATTAGGCGATGACCATGCCGCGGATAGTGTTGTTAAAGCCGCATTAATATTTATAATAACTACAATATTAAAATTTTAAAAATATTTTTATTTTTAGCAGGTATTATGTTGTAATTGTGTTATTGCATACGTTTTGGTTTTCTGCGCGACAGTATGACGTTTATTTTGCCATGTGTTAGAGAATGCGTTTAGAAGGGTACCACAGCCCTCAACACAAAAAAACTAGCTATGGGATTTACCCAAATTCAAAAATACCAAAAGAAAATTATATTTTAACTCAATGAAATAATAAATAACGCGTTATACAATAACTTAATTGTTATTATAAATTTTATTTTGCGTTATTGGCAAGTTTTTATAGTAGTTTAGTTTTTATCCACTACGGCGCGCTAAAATCGGCATTTTTATTTCAGCCAATCATCGTTTGCCTCATCTGTGGCAAAGTAATTCGGTACCCTCTTTTGTGGCGGTCATCCTTGCAAAAACCAGTGCGGAAAAAACTGGCGTTGAAAAGTCCCCATCTGATACCGAAGAGGCCACGTTCGTATTTATTTCATCCTCCCCTGCCGAAGAGAAAAAGGTAACGCATGTTTTTCTCACTTTTTACCGTTGGCTGAAGTATATTTTGGCTTCGGTAACCTTAAACCACGTAGGCTTAGAAGGCTGCTAGCGGTGAACACAGTGGTCTTCATTTTCTTTCATCGTCTAAGAACAGAGACCAATGACGCCGCTGAAACAAGTCCTGTTAGATTCTCGGTTAAAGACGTGGTGATATCCGACAGTTTATACCAACATGAGTACTTTCGCAAACCTTGCTACTATTTTGTATGCTTGGGCGAGTTCCAACCCTTATTTCCTCAACAGTGAGTGGTGTGAACGAGCCGTCCTTACTAATAGTGCCTCTTGCTTTCCATTACGTAACGTTCGGTCGTCAATTTTAACCAGAAATATCTGCCGGTGAGATCTGTGTCGTTTTGTCTTGCCTTCCTTCCTTATGCGCAACAGTGACTTGGCTCGCCCAGATAGAAAGCAGCGGCAGACTTGTTTACAGTGGTGTTTTCGTTTTCTCTCAGCTCTCCGCCCAAATATGTTCCTTCTCGAATGGATTGGCGGTGTTCTAGGCTACTTGGGTAAGTTTATTCTCGACTTTTTCAATCTCTCGACTGGGCATTAATTAACCACTGCAATAACCTGTCAGATGTTTTGACGCGGCTGGGCACCGCGTCATCGAGCTGGAGCCGCGTTGTGCATTTCGCTCGTCCATCGATCGGAGAATTTGTTAATCGAGTCGTGAATCTCGCATTTCACGCTATACAAAGACGATCGTGCCTCGGTGTGTGCGTGTGTCATAGTGTGCAGTTTTCCCCATTGCTGTTGGCCCTGCTGTCGACAGCTTATGGCGTTTCCATGGATACCAAAAATTTTAGCGCCTAAATAATGATGTTCGGGAACCAGAGCGGGGTGTATTTTATTCCAAGCAATACCTGCCGTTCTACCTTAACGTTGCTTTGAGCGATTGACCTCTTGATGCTTGATAGGTCACCCTCCTCTGAAGCTTATCTTCTGCAACCGACCCCGTGCATGTGCAGACTTTCGCAATCCTTAGGTGACGTTTTCGGTGCACTTGTACTGCCATTGCTTTAAGTAGCGTGGTATAATGGCGCCAGGTGCTGTCAAATTGCGAACTTAGTGAAGTCCTGCACCCTGTGTGATGACTTCACCTTGCTGCTGTCCATGTGCTTTAAACCACGATTGCAGAAAGCATTTGCACTGAACATTTACACACACTGTTCATTGCAGAGGCTTGATTCTAAAGAACACGCTGTGTTGTTTATATGTGCATTGTACCCAAAACACTTTGGCAGGCATTGGCTCTGTAGGAGGTACCACAATGCATTGGACAGTTCACGCTCACTATTGGCTAATTTCATATAAAGCTCGCCATGAGCTAGGCTGGGGGGAAGAGTTGGTCATAAAGCCTTGCTTACTCTGTTAGGGAAGCACCCCCTTTTGCAAAACACTTGTTCATTTTGGAATGCATGTAAGTAGTTTGTGTACGGTGGTGCTTTCTGGATTTTGCATAGGGTGTATTGATGCGACCTAGTCCCCCCGCATATATTTTTTTTTTCTCTGCTTCACGTGGTACTCTATAGGCCAGTTGTGAGGAATGTGATGTTGGTCTTAGCACAGGCACTATCTTCGGTCAAGATACAAAAGAGAGGGCAGCTTCTACTTTTGTGATTACCCAAAAGATTGCTTAATACTTTGTAACATCACTGCAGAAATGAATAGTGCACTATTTGCATGCAACTCTGCAAACTGCAAGTCGTTTTGCAGCTCTGCAGTACAGGTGGATCAAGTTGGGTTTGTTTCATTTAGGGTGTCGTATGATCCTAGGTTACAGGCACTGGTGAGCCTTTATATTGTAGAGATGAGATCTCATGTCTAGAGCACAGAGCCAGCTACCTCTGCTGCTTTTTTTATGCTTATATATGCAAAGACTGATGCCGTAGTGATACCTAACATAGCCTTACAGGATGCTCTGACCTTGCGCTGTATAATTCAAGCGTTAAAGGAAGCTTGTAGGGAATGTGAGGTAGTAGCTGTGGACAACAGTGAACATCCACGTGCTCCACTGTTCTTAACTATTTCTTCAGTACCTGTTGCAGCAGAAGGTGGCCATATTGTCCAGGTTTATTTCCCAGCCATGACTGCCATAACTTTGTGTGAGGGAAGTGCAAAGGTTGTGAAGTACTTAAGAGATAGGTGTGTACTAAAGAAGCCCAGATGGTCAAGCTGAATCTTAACCATGGCATCTGTCAAACTTTAAACTGGATAATTCAGCCTGCTTTTTCTTTTAAAGCAATAGCAAAGCCACTTGTACTATCCAAGCTCAGCTTAAGTAGACACATAGCAGCTGCTGCTAAGTGTCTATGAAAGAAACTTCTATTTATAGCGGTACGATTTCAACTGGAGGTGGCATAGCACCATTGTTGTAGGTGAGGTGTATGCGAATCAGCAGCTTCTATGTCATGAACCTTGTGTACAATTTTAGTTGAGTGCACTGTCATACAGTACTTGAACATGGTAGCCTCTTGGTACTGACAAGAAAATGAAATGGATAAACCAAGTTGAGCTGTTGCATCAATTGCTTTGCTCAAGGGGTACCCGTACTGGTTCTTGGGGATTCAGTACATGTATTTTTGTTTTTTTTCCAGGAAGTTGAATCTTTTGGAGCAGTAATAGAGTAAGCAAAGTGAGGCTTGATGTTTATCCTAACATATTGGCTTGCGTGAAAAAATAGCCATTAGTTGAGCACACTGCTGCCGTTTTGGTGCCCTTCTTATCGTCAATCATTATACATAACTGATAGCTGATATGGCTTAGAGGTAGGGTGAACTGTGTTGGATGTCTCTTCTCTTGCGTCTGTATTTGAATGCGTTGCTTTCATCCATGATCAAACCCAAGTTAGTATATCATGTTTTAAATACTGGAGGAAAAGTAAGCTGATTAAGTTTTTCGATAAAATTTTCTTGAACACACTTGCTACGTTTTTATGCAGTTGTCTGTCTTGATACAATAAACCTTCAACCTTAGAGTACATGGGGGTTGTAATGCACAAAGGGCTGTTTAAAAGCTATTTTACATAAACAAAGTTGTGGAGGAGGTGCAGGGGGATTCACTGTTCAAGGAACACCAGAGCGTGTGTGGTCTGCTCTGCGCCACTGCCGGCCGCCTGGGGCAACTAGTTTCGCGCAGGACTTGAGTGCTGTGGGTGGCGCTCGTTTATCGTCTGCTACAGTTGCAACAGCACCCCGGATAGCCGCAATATGCAGCCGAAGTCGCAAAATCTTGCTTTCCTTCGAGCTAGAAGGGAAACCACGAATATTATCTCTAACCGGATAAATGTCGCCAGACACATCAGCCGGATTGCAGTCTTTAGTTCGCCTTCCCGTTAATGAATTGCCCGCTCAAGAAAGCTTTTTGGGGTGCCATTTGAAGGCACTTGTGAATTCGTTGTTCAGCTTGTGCACTGGAGCAGCTTGAATCGGCATTCGTGCACATGAAATACGCGCTGCACAAGGAAAAAATATTCTTTTATGTAGCTGTATTAGAAAAAGATGCTGTGAAGAAGTCGTGCTTCTTTAGCCACAAAAATTATGAATGAGATTGCATTTTACATAATGTAATATTCTTTCAGCTTTGCCACAGCTTTTCATCTGAGCGTGGTCATGCAGCCTGCGGACAAATTTCGAAGCGCGGCGTAGGCTGGCTTCGCGACGAGCTTGAGCGTGGCCGCCACGGTAGCAAATGACAAACGGGCGTCGCCCACAGGGCTCACTGCTCCTGCGCGAAACTAGCTGCCACAGTCAGCGGTGGTGCCGAGCAGAGGACACGCGCTCCGGTGTTCCCTTTGACAGTGGACCTCTCTGGACGTGCAAATTGGAGCTCATTTCGGCAGAATTATCTGCGGCATGAAAAGGGCACATTCTCACAGATTTGCTATGTCCTTCCTTCTGCGATTAAGCCTGTAGTTCCAGTAAACAGTGCTGCAGTTAATTGACTCACTTGAAACACTTTTGTATTTTAATTTCGTGATTTTACCATGCAAGTACATTCATGTATACAAGTGTGTGGCCAGATACACTTCATAACAGCAGCCTGAATGGTCCCGCTTCCACTGTCTGGCACCTGTTGATACTCCTTGGCACCTCTTGGTAATCGTGGCTATCGTTGGATACACTATTACTGGCAGTCATAGCGATAGTTTATGCTCCAGAATTGAAACTGTGATGAGCTCGTCTCATTTAGCCTCTTTGGCAGGTTTGCACTCGAAGCCAGCATTTTATTTGGCATTTCATGTTACTGCATTTTCTCACAAGTTGTTGTGTGCATGTATACATTACTTTGGGCACATTTGTCACTATTCAGACCATGATCTATGGATACCTTTTTGCTGCACACAAAAGAGCAGCTTTAGGTAGTGCTTGTGCATGTAAAATTTTTCCAGAAAGTTGTCACTGCGTCAGGAAATTGTCATACTTTTCATGGAGCCTGAATGAGTGCACATTACAATAAATAGGTCTCGCTGGTGGTCCTTTGCTTGTGATGTCAACGGGAGTCACTGGTTATGACATGCTACTTGAAGGGGCCCTGCAACACTTCAGCATTTTCAGAAATCTGCACTGATTGGTAGTCCAGGTTCCTGAAAACATGCAAGCCAAGCATTGTAGCATAACAGGCGGCCTGGAATTATAATTCTGTCAGCTATAACTTGTTCTTCTTTCTACAAATGGTGCCATATACCGGTATTGATGGCCGATTCGAGGATCCCAGGCTGCATAGTTGCTCTGGCCGCCACATGCCCCCACACACATGCAGATCACACTAAGCAGTGCGTTCAAATAGAAAAAAGGGCTCGAGGTCATGATGTGCGCATCTTGACTTTTTTTAACGCGATAGCTTTAAAAGAAGTCAAGATGCGCACATTTCGCAGGAATTCTGGTGTCATTGGTTGTGAGCAAAGAATCGTCTAATGCGTGACCGGAAAATCGAAACGATGCAAATAAAATAAATAAGTGATAAAAAAAAATCCTGGAGCAGAGCGGGGACCAAACCAGGGTTGTTTGGGTCCGAGTGGGGATTGAACCCGTGTCGTTCGCATGGCAAGCAGATGTTCTACCACACGGCCACACCTCTGCTTGTGAAAACAGTGAAAAGAACTTCCTCTGCTTGGAAATGCAATGAAAGTAGCTTTGATGCTTCACAAACACACATGTCCTGTATACATGCTTCACAATGCAACATGAAATATTGCAGTAATAATGTGTGGTACAAGCTTTCATTGCCAATGGGCGTCAGAAGAGTGATTATTATAATGGATCCATGGTTGAAAGCCGGCACCCCACTATAAAAGGCACACACTAGTGCGCCTATTCCCTTAGGGCCATGTAGTGGGTACATAGCGAATTTGAAAACGTTTGAACTATGGACTAGAAACAGGATGTCGCTTTCGTGTTCAACACCTAAAAGGGAAGCTTTAGGGTCCCCTAATTTTTCTCCGTGCCAGCCCTCTCGGCTTGGCTTCCAGTGCGTTCATTGGTATGAGAAGAGGAAGCTGTTACAGCGTATGACAAATCTTGTGCATACTTGGCACATTAAAAAAAAATTGTCCCAGTGGTTGAGTCGTGAGGCGACAAATTCCTTCGGTGTAGCCATTCATTAGTTATTTGAAAAAGTGTTACGGGACCTCTTTAACAACTGGTGTTCAATGATCCTCTAAAATGTTGATTGCATCAGCCTATTCACTCGTATTTATCCATAAAAAAACTTGAAATTAATGTCTTTGGAAATTCGATCTTGCTGTGTCGTCCTAGGAAGAATACGGAATTTATTTAAAGGAGCCTTGACATCAAATTTCAAGATTGAGATGTGCCCGTCATTCAATCACTTGGTATGCATAGGTCTTCTTGGCCAAATTTGAATGGCGTCCGTTGCATCGAAGTTATTTTATTTCGACATAAAACCGCGTAGAAAAGCTAAAAAGAAAAAACTGAAAAATAGACTGCCCTGCGACATCGACACTAGTGCTACGTGTTCGGTGTGATACATTCCACAAATAGCATCCAGAGTGATGATACGCCAGTAACGATGACCTTGATGATCTCGGAGTGTGTTTGGAGCAGACTCCCAGCCATGCTCTCACTAGTGGCTCTCCTTGCTGTATTGAAGCATGCGTGCTATTCGTGTCGCATCAACCGATATGTGTTGTGCTCCACTGCGTGTGAGTCACCACCCCTACTCCTTGGTTTTGCGGATATCCCGATTTAAACAAGTAGCTAACTTGGCAGATCTGTACTTAAATTCGCAGATTTCGTCAAATGATTTGACAGGCACAGCAAAGGCTAATATGGATGTTATCATTGTTTGCTCAGTGGGGTGGTTCAAAATACTTTCATTGAAATAGCAGTGCTCATGTTCACATTGCACGATTTAGGGGATGTTGAATGGTTTATGCACATTTTTTTTTCTAAATGTTAGCAGTCTTTCTTATATTTCTTCAAATTTTGGGTTTCATGATAAAAAAATGCACGTTTTTTCCCATGAACTGCTTTAAATTTGGATTTTAGTGTTCCAAAAGTAACATTTTGCTGTGCCGAAAATTGTTCCAAAGGTATTTCAGGTGCTGCACCCCTGATAATAGAATTCAGAACATCAATAGCTTCTGCGAGCAACCAGTACTGTGAATTTTTCATTATATTTGTGGTTTCCCGTCTCGAAACCAAATGGATAGTTATAAAACACCGTAGTACATGGCTCTGGAAATTTTGACTATCAGGTGGTCTCTAACATGCACTGACATCAGACACTACACGGACGTCTATCATTTAGGCTCTATCGAAATGCGACCGCCGCGGCCGGGATTAAACCCATGACCTGCAGCCCATGTCTGCAGCCGAGCACCGTAACAATTGCCCTACCACGTCGTACAACACTGTGCATATTTGTAAACTCTCAAAAAGCTGGATAAGGAGGATGAGATATATGTTGCATTGAGGCAGAGGCCGAAATGTTTACAAAAAATTAAATGAATCTAGAAGTTGCTGTTAATGAATTAGCAGCTACATCAGACTTGTATGCAGGAGAGGTAGCGGCAACTGATGACCTGATATGCATAAAGTCAAACAGCTTTTGGAAGACTGCCAGCACCAAGCAGCAGGAGATAGTGGACATTAACTGAGTTTTGGCTATCTGAATAAGTTGGCATCTTGTGTCATACTGAAAGTAACTGTCTATGAAACTCTAAAAAACTATGATTGAAAGTTGTCCCGAAAGAAAATGTTATTCAAGCCATCTTTTCAATGGTTGCTCCAGCACTTTTACCCTTTTCCAATGAATTCTGGTTATTTCAAGCCTTTATCTTCCCTGAACAGTTTTTATTGGGTTTCTAAGAGATGACGTGGTCCTTGAAAATTTACATACATAGCCTTGAAAGTCCTTGAAAACCCTTTAATTTTGTCATGCAAACCAGCATGAACCCTGTTTAAACTTCATGTGCTCAGTACCAATGCTTCAGGTCACAAATTGCAAATGCACTATCAAAGTGACAGAGCATTCTTGTTGCGAAAGCAGCAAGTACAGAGTTTGCGAAAGGGAACACATGAGATGGTGATCTTGGGAAGGACTTCCCAAATGGTGCAATTTTTTTTTTTTTAGTAGCAATCTCTGGGCTGGAGGCAGCCTGTCGAATGTATTTCAGATTCCATGTATGATGACCAAAAAATAGCACTGAATGAACTAGAATAAAAGGGGATGACAGGTCACACTTGTTTGCTTGTTGATTCAGTGCTGCTTTTTTGTCGTGAAGTATGAGCCAACAAGCCCAAATTTCAACTGTGCTGAGCTTGCTTGTAAATAAGTGTGTTCTGAATCACTAGGTACACTGCTGCGTAGACTTTCCAAGCGTAGTGCAGGTATGGTTTACATTATAAAAATGGATTTAGTTTAAAGGGACACTGAAGAGGTTTTGAATTCGCAAATTTGTTGTGAATTTGGTATCCGCAACCTCTTACAACATGCCTACGGAGGTTTTTTTCGCGAGGTTCGATAAAACAACGGCGCTGTGAGCGAGCAAACCTCGACCCGTGCGTAGCGCGGACCATGCCAATAGGCTAAAAGCGAGCATGAATTACAAGTGCCGATGCTGCTGTTCCTTATGGAATTTGATATCCAGTGATAAGCTGTTAATTTGGAGCAGTTTAACAGTGAAATTAAGCACTGGCATGCATCTTGCACGTGCCAGTCTATGGTTCCGACACAGGTGAGGGTGGCTGGTCGGGACTCGCTTTCCTGTGCCGCTTCAGTCGTCGTACTTAAAGTGGCGACTGGCTCGAACATGTACGAATGTACAGCGAACTCAGTTTGACGTTCGCAGTTCACCATACTTACAGAAACTGCAGTTCGCCATACTTACAGCAACTGCCCGATTTCAACAGATAAGTGGTTGGAAGAGAGGGCGCCTAATTTTTGCAGCCCGGTAAGAAACACGGCGCAGCGCCTCGACAGATAAACACATTTATTTCCGGCCAGAGCCGTCAGCTGTCCTCGCCTTCCTGACAGTGACGTTGTGGAGCTTCGACCAATCACAGTAGCGAAAAGACTTGCGATGGTGGCCGCGGCGCCTGCTGCTTGTTTTCGGCAAAATAGTTATTTTTGTTGGTTTATGCAAATTTTCAACTTAATTTTCGAGTTCGCCGCATGAAATTGTGTATCATAACACCATAATCTCCTTTTTTATATAAAGTGTTTCAGTGTCCCTTTAAGTGCTCACAATCTAATGTAATTTCTCTCTTCTCGCAGGCCTGTGGAAGAAGAGTGGCAAGCTGCTCTTCCTTGGCCTGGACAATGCGGGAAAGACCACATTGCTGCACATGCTCAAAGATGACCGCATGGCCCAGCATGTGCCCACACTGCACCCAAGTAAATTCCTTCATGTTTCCTTGTGGCTATAGCCTTTGTGTGGTCACACTTCAGACCAGGGAGGGGGATGGGTGCTCAAATAAATCTGCAAAGGTCATGCTAGCCTGCTCTGTACAAGTGCGGTGCTTAAGGGGAGATGCGGGTCGAAAAACGAGAATTTTCTAAAAAATTATCGATTTTTTGTTTTCACCTGTTTTGTTAAGATTAGTACCTCTACTATTCTGAAAAAAAAAATCTATGTCGAGAATCAACTGGAAATGCTTTAAAATTGCGTCTGAAGAGCACAAGGTGGCTGTCTAAAGGCCGAAAGTGTGTCATCTTCGAGCACCTTGCCGCTGATAATGCGCCGCTGCTCGCCATTGTCGACCGCATGAGGCGAAGAACCGAGCCTCACTCTTCAAATAGCGACGGTTTCCCGCGCTGCTGCAACGCAAGAAATAATAAAGAGAACGCGCTTTAGCCGCCTTTTTTGAGCGCCGCGACTGGCTTTTAAATCACGTGGTACGGATCGGGAGCCGCCATTGGCCGCTGCGCGCCGTTGTGTGCTGTGAAGCCTACTTGCAGGATCCGTGTCTCGTCGAGCAGCACAGCTGAACAACGCTTTTCTCGATTCCTTATTCGTTATAGATGAAGAAAGCCGTAGGAAGCGCGGTCACCGGCCTGTGAAGTTTCACGCGGCGCACAAATTTCGAGGACGCCGGCGCAAATCAAAGCAGAACACTCAAACCACGAAAAGATCGTCTGCTGCCGCAAAACGTAGTGGCAATGACGCCGATGCGCCCGACGAGTTTGCCGCAGCATTCGAATATGTGAGTGCCTCCCAGAAAAAGATCGGACTCTTCGAAGACGAAGAAAAATCACAGGACGACGAGTCTTCGTTGATTGCTGATGTGACAGCACTGAACATGCTTGTTGTGCGCGGTGCAATGTGTCCGACGTGTCGCCATTTGGGATTACGTGTCCGGGAACCGGCCGACAAGCGGAAAGGACTTGCGTCGTTCGTCGAACTCCACTGCCCAAACAGTGAGTGCCCCGAGACTATCCTTTCGGCGACATATACTTCGCGGCGAGTAGCTTCAGGCGGGGAGGCCAGCGCGAGCGTGGCGGGTGACGGACTGACCGCGAGGAGAACATACGACAGCGGGAGCTCGCGCGATAGCTACGCTGTCAACGTGAAAGCTGTTGTGGCGGCGCGCTCTGTAGGCATGGGCTACGAGCAGCTAGTCCGATTTTAATGGCAGTGGCCACTACAAGGAGGATTTTTCTTTCTTGTGTACAAATTTCGTCGCATTCAATGACATCTTTGATAAATAAACATGCAATTTTGACTTTAAAACTTCTTTTTCTCAAAACACAAATTTTGCCATTTTTGTCAATGTGCCCCTCCTTTTTCGGGTACTTCTGGTGCTCAGATCTGCATGAAATTTTTCCCAAATTTTTTCCAAAGTACGAGAAATGCAATTATCTTGTTTAGGTTTCAATATTCTTTTTATATAATAAAAAAAAATTATGTAAACTTTTACTAGGGTAGGAGAAATATGAACTTCCCACGTTAAAATTTTTCACGTCTAGTACATATTTTGTATGGACTTCCAAATTAGTTGTTTGCATTCCACACTTCATTTGAAACATTATGAACTATCAATTGTAAAAAATTAATGAAGTTTAGGTATGAAAAGAGGGGGGGCAAAGGGCTTAAGTTTTTCACTTTGTCATGTTGCAAAACTAAAAGTATGCAACTTGCAAGACAACTCATTATATATTCGAAATCAGCATAAAAAGTTCTATAAGCACCTCAAGTGTCATTGCTCTCGAATGAATATTAAAAAAAGTGTCTTCGACCCGCATCTCCCCTTATAGAAATTCACCTTTGCCTGCTGATCTTTTTGCAATTCCTAAGCGCAATACGCGACATGGTTCTAATGGTAATTTCAATCTGCCCAAATGTTTTAATGTTTACGGAGAAAGACTGATACAGTTTCATGGAATAAAACTATGGAACACGGTCCCCCTAGAGAATAAAACGGCACGTAATTGCAGCATGGCATGTAAATCATATTTTCTGTGGAGTCAAGACATATAAGAATGTGTGTGTTTGATTTGATTTTCATTGTATTTTTTAAATAAGTGCCTATGTATGGAAAGCTAGCTGCAAGCTAATAAGTATGCATGTCTACAGGAACAAATGGATTACTGTGTTATTTGTATTTAGATGATTGCTTTTGTTACAATAAAGCTGACGTGTACACTTTATGTTGCACATTGTATTGGACCATCCACTAGCCACTTTAGGCTATCTGTTCAAATAATCCCTGTAATTACATATATGTATTCATGAAAATAGTTTTATTGATTTATTGATTACACTCTACTGAGAACCCTCACCCTCCTACAGCACTTTTTAAAATATTTGAGGGAAGTTTTCTTTTTTTCTTGCCAGGTTTTTTTGCGAGTGGCAATCACTTCAGAATGTGCCTTCTGCTACTTAAATGGTGCCTCGTGTGTAAAAGTTTCATTTCATGGGCTTTTAGTTGGGCGATTTCCTTCATAGAGTATGGTGCTCAACAATGGTTCTTGCTAATCGGTTTGCTCTGACCATATTTTCATATCTGTTACAGAAATTTGCAGAATTGGTAATGGCTGCTTGAAGTATTTATCTTTCTTAGTTTACTGCTCCTTGTGTGCTTTATCGAAAGTCAATGCCATGATGGTGCCGCCAGTTTCCCTTTCCTCGCTGTCTGCTGCCTATGGCGAAAACTGTAGCTTTCACGCCCTCCTTCCTGTAAAGCTGCCTAACATTGCAGGCCGCATTGTGTTCAGTGACCATGCTAGTTGTATGCAATATACTCTTGCTTTCAGTTTTTGTGGTAGGCTGTGGATTGATACACTTGTATGACGGGCTAATTAAAAAAAATATAGATTTACGTTGGCATCAGAGCCTCAGTTTACTCCACGCTGGTGCGACCTTTGAAGCGTTTGTCTTGTCTTTGTTTTGAATAGTGGCGCAATAGACACTGCACATTTTTAAGGTTGACCCAAGAGATGTATGAATTAAAGGCCGGGTTTACAGGCATTGGCTGATCTGACATTGTTGATAAATTTGCTGCCTTGCTGAAGGGAATGTTTTGTGGCTTCCTTGTGTTTATTGAATTGTTCGTTGTGCAGCCTCTGAAGAGCTGTCCATAGGCAACATGCGTTTCACCACTTTTGACTTGGGTGGCCATCACCAAGGTAACTGATCTTACTGTGCTTGCAACTAAGTATAGTTTCTTGAATTGAATAATAAGCATTAGAGTACAGTACTGTTGGTGAGATATGCAATTTCGGGAGATTGTGTGCTAGCAGATGTCTGCAGGCAAAATTTTGGGAATCGCTGTTAACATTAGCATAAAATGTTTATTGTTAAGAGACAGAGTTGCGTTTTCAAAGTGCAGCATTTTGGTGCACTTAAAATTCGGGTAAGTGGCAAAGAATAACTTGCCCTCTGAGGCTCATTCCTCGTTCCGGCTAGTTGCCTTTTGTCTGAGAATCGGCATACAGTCATGTTTTCTTGCCTTCCCGTTCTGTCCTTTGTACCTATGCCCTTCTAGTGCATTTGTTGCCTAACTTGTACTTTTGCATTATAATTGCCTGCGTGAAATGCGGGAGCACATTTATGAGAAGCTCAATAATTGAAATGTTGAGAAGAGGCCTATGAAGTTCATGGAAAAGAAAATTTAAAATAATGAGTGATGAACAGAAGCCTGTTTATGAAGACTGAGAGCACCTCTTCGATGATCATCTTTAATTGGAAAGAAAACTCGCGATGATTTTATCTGTTTTTGTTTGTCGAAATGCAATTGCTGCTTGATCCACCTCATATGGCGCCTTAGTCAATTCCTGCGACAGGCAATTCCCAATAACCAATTTTTACGATTCCTGTTCTGTTTAGCATGAGAATTACTGGTTTATTTCTAATTGCAAAATAGTAGCTCAAGAAATATTTCCTAAATATTTCTATCTGTGGAGAGTATAAAGTAGTACAAGCACGACCCCTGCTGTAAACAGTGAAAGGTGAGCGGGGAGAGTGCTTAGTGTATATTCATGATGGTTGCCATACATGCACTCCCTGCATGTATGGCACAGCTCGATGTACTCCATTAATTTTTGTGAAAGCAGTGCCGCTTCTCAGCATACAATTCATTTTGTATGTAGCACATAATAAAGCAGGGTTGAATAATATGCACTTATAATTTTGCACACAAATGATAGAATGATGGTGTGCATATAAGCTTTGGAATAGTTGCAACGAATTGAACGAGAGAGAGACTTGTAAACATGATTTTAAAATGTAAATTTGACCACATCGTGGAAATGAGGCTTGAATATTTCACTCTGATTCATTGTCTTTCCATTTTCGCAGAGGTCTAATCACATGTTCTGTCCAGTTGTTGTTCTCTTTAAAGGTACAGCTCAAAAGTACGTTTGCCATCTAGCTGGCTCTGCATACTTGGAGATGGTGGAGAGACTAATCAGCCATCCATAACGAGAGGATAATAGTAGCATAGAATAAGGCATAAGTCATCTCTCCACAGTACCACGCTTGTATCTTGGTGTTGTCGGATATCTTTTGACCGTGGGCAGCTGTGTTAGCATGTTACCACTGCTGTTTGGTTCGTTCAAGCACACAGTTGTTTCAGTGTGCTTTTCAACATGGCGTCGCTGTGCATGTGTGAGAACAGTCTTACTGCTACTGGGGAAAAAAATCGAGCACCCGACAGTTTTTTAATTTGGGGATTAAGTGTTCCTGTTTTGCTAGCTCATGTTGGCTATATTTTTTTTCGATTTCACTACAACAGAGCTTTTGCCTCAACTGAATTTTTTCCCGTGCCCCATAAGTTCTGTTAAAGCGAGGTTCAACTGCAATAGTTTATCAATAAAACTATGATGCGGCTGACAAAGCGGTTATTGCCTTTTAACATGATCGGCGTAAGTACACTAAGCTTTCTGGCAAGCTTGTGCATTTTCACATTCCATAAGCCTTTGGCACTAAATGTTCCACATTTGCTCTTGCTCTGCGATGCGAACAGTGCTGTAGCTTTTGGAAGAGCACACTAGCCTTCATTGAAGATCTATGTGTGCGATTGTATTAGCCCATGGTAAAGTTGGCAATAATGAGCTGCATCCTTGAACCAGTAGGCTCTGCGGTTTTCGTGCTCATCGAATTGTATCGGCACGTTTACCATCTTCCTACTCCAAAATGAACTCTTCGTGCAGACTTTAAATAAATTGTGCAGTTCCAAGTTCAAACATTTTCATTCCTCAGGGCCACTGCCTCCATTGTTGCAACTAGAGCCATCAGAGAAATGCTTGAGTTGCCGAATGTAGGGCAGAATTTAAGAGTACTTTTGCATGCATCGACACATCGACAGTCTGCTGCGACATGCACATTGGTGCAACAAGCTCTGCCAATTGCGCCAATTTGACATAAATCCCCATTTCTGCGCCAATGCCATAACATCAGCTTAAATTGCACCACACTGCGCCAAAATAGCCGACCAGCTTCAAAATTTTCTGTTGCGCTAATTTTAGCGAAAAAGAGGCCACGTTGGTCACCCGCAGCTGCAGTTTTGGTCATCAATCAATCCAAGTGCGCAGACCCTAACGCTAAACCACGGTGTCGGATATATTCCTTTCAGGTCGGGGCACTCGGGAGACAATTGACCAGCTAAAGCAAACAAAGCCGGGCGCATCGTTCCACTGACTGAAATGGATACCTATTGGTGGGAGGTTGCAACTGATAGACCAAAATGGGTTGCCGTACCAAACAACGCTTTGTGGGAAATATGAACTTCCTGTTGGCAAACGTGGCTATGGCATGTTGGCAGCTAGAGCTGGAAGCGCATACCGCTTTTTTCGTGCACCAACAGTCCACGTGCTGCGAACGCCAGCGTTGTATGCGGCCACGTTGGTCGCCATAGCAAAGGCACATCGAACATTTTTCTGTCTAAGTTGCGCTGGTTGCCTCGTCCCGCAGATAAATATCCGGTGTTGTCACCGGATCAATGGACACATGCCATTGTTTCTTTAACTGGTAGAACGCGCCTTGCAAGCGAGCCAGAAGCTGTGGCCTAAACCTAACCCCATATGAAAAAAAGGAGGTGGTGAGAATGCCAATATGGATAGGATATTTAAAATAGCGGAAAAGCTTTAGAGATCTGTATAGTAGCCGGGACTACCGTGACCTTAATATAAGAACTAGCAGTAACCCAGCTGACACCCCGCCAGTAATGATAGAAGTCGGAAAAGCCTTAGAGAGCATGCAAAGAAGCAAAGCTGCTGGTGAGGATCTGGTAACATCAGATCTGCTGAAAGATGGAGGATAGATTGTGTTAGAAAAACTAGCGACCCTGTTTACGAGGTGTCTCCTGACGGGAAGAGTACCAGAATCTTGGAAGAATGCTAACATCATCCTAATACATAAAAAAGATGGCAAGGACTTGAAGAATTACAGGCCGATCAGCTTGCTTTCCGTAGTATACAAGCTATTTACAAAGGTCATTGCTAACAGAATTAAGACATCGGAATTCAATCAACCAAAGGAACAAGCAGGATTTCTAACAGGCTACTCAACAATCGACCACATTCATACTATCAATCGGGCAATAGAGAAATGCTCAGAATATAGCCAACCACTATACATAGCCTTCATAGATTATGAGAAGGCGTTTGATTCGGTAGAAATATCGGCAGTCATGCAGACATTGTGAAATCGGGGCATCAGCGAAGCATATATAAACATCCTGGAAGAAATCTACAGGGGATCAACTGCTACCATAGTGCTTCATAAAGCAGACTACCAATCAAAAAAGGGTGTAAGACAGGGGGTACAGTATCCCAGATGCTATTTACCGCGTGCTTACAGGAGGTTTTCAGAGGCCTAGAATGAGAACAGTTAGGAATAAGACTCGATGGAGAGTACCTTAGTAACCTGCGCTTCGCCGATGACATTGCATTGCTGAGTAACTCTGTGGACGAATCGCAACTCATGATTATGCAGTTAGGCAAGGAGAGCAGAAAAGTAGGTCTTAAAATTAATCTGCTGAAAACGAAAGTAATGTACAACAACCTCGGATGAGAACAGTGTTTCGAGATGGGTAATAGTGCACTTGAAGTTGTAAAAGTCTGTCTACTTAGGACAGGTAATAACTTCGGAGCCGAACCACGAGACTGAAGTAACTAGAAGAATAAGGATGGGGTGGAGCATATTTGGCAAGCACTCTCAAATCGTTACAGGTAGATTGCCACTATCCCTCAATAGGAAGGTATATAACAGCTACATCTTGCTGGTGCTTTGCTACGGAGCAGAAACCTGGAGACTTAAGGCTGGTGCACACCAGTGACTAGCAGCGGTCCCGTGACGATTTGCGACTGGTCGCAAATAGTCGCGAACGATTGCAAAGAGACTGCTTTGGCTTGTCGCCGCCTGACTGATTTTTCAGTCACGCGAGTCCGGTCGCAAAGCTGCTGGAACCAATCAGCGATGCTCAATTTTCGTCGTTTGTTTTTTCCATTGCACTGGCAAGAGCAGATAAAAACAAGAAATACGGTGCGCTCGGTTTGCTCCGCTCACTCAGCTGGCAGCGATCAGCTGATTGGCGCCGGTCTCAGGAGTTCTCACTGATAGAGATCCGGACGTTACTCTCTGCTATTGCGACTTCCGGTCGCTCGCATGCAGCCTCTGCCGGCGTGGACATCAGTCACTTTTTGGTCGCCAGTCGCAAATGGTCGCGCGACCGCTGCTAGTCGCCGGTGTGTACCAGCCTTTGCAAAGAGGGTTTAGCTTAAATTGAGGATGACGCAGCGAGCAATGGAAAGAAAAATGGTAGGTGTAACCTTAAAGGGGCCACTCACCAGGCCCCATACCAAATTTTAAACAGTGGAAGTTGTTGGGTGTCCGATGAGGAACATTATTCCACAAACATTTTTTGAATCGGTTCATCACGAGCGGAGAAAACCGTTTTTTTTTTTTTTTGAAGCGGCGCGAAACGAAGATGAGAGGAGGCGATCTCGAAACCCTTGCCGCTCCTCTGCATAGCCTGCGCAAGCCAAATCTCTTCCCCATCCTCTCAGGCATCCGACCAAGAGGTCGCATGCGCTTGACGTGCCCAAACAAGTCCAACCTCTGAGCACTCGAGCGACGTTGCTTCGTTGACCAGCGTTATTTTGTGGTCTTCTGCCTGTTTCTGCGG